TGGTTTATTCTTTCTGATTACAAGTATGTATGCATTTTACAGTGTAATATTAAATTTTAATATTGAAAGTCACGTAGAGATTATCTATGTATAGTTGTATCATCCCTATATTATTGTTTGCATTTCTTTTTGGTACTGCCATCACTACATTATTTTATAGTTTATAAAATGTTTTTATTACGTGTACACAATATGAAACAAAAGTCGCGCCATTGCAGATTTATTAAGGTTTAATAAAGGTATGTTGTTGATGTCTGGCACAGTTGACTAACCTGGGTCTGACATTAAATAAGGTTGTTGAATCTGGTGATCAGCCCTTCCCACCAGAGCTTGTTACCATCCCCACTTGTGACCTTTCTTTAAGTTATCTAAAGAAGTCGGATACTCCGAGGTGGAAGTACTGAATTAATTTTTCTGGTCGGTCACCTTTTGAATCATTCTTCTATCCACATTTTCATGGATGGCTCAAAAACAGGTGACTGTTGGCTCTTCCATGATTGCTCACAGGATCCCCTCTATAGATTCTGCACTTACTGCTGAGTTATATGTAATTTCACCTGATTGAAATCAGGTAGAAGTTATGCGACACATTATTTGTATAATTTATATTGACCCACTTAGCTCTTTGAATCGAATTGGTAAGTGTTAGTTCTCACTCAGGTCTCTTGGACATTCAGAAATTATTGACTCATTTTTTTTGTTTTCATCCATCTCCGTTTAGTTTTTCTGAATTTCCTGTTATTGTTGGGAGGAGCTCACTGACACCACAGCATATTCTTTGACAAGACTCTTCACTGGCCACAGTTTCATCAAACATTAGTTTCTATTATAGAAGGATCTGACCCGCCAATGAGCTTTGTGACACTCAAGTTACAATTGCCCATGTTTTAATTTCGTGCCTTCGCTACGGCTTGAAAGGGCAGCAGCCTTTTCGACATATTTTATTCCGTGGTTTGCCTTTGACATTGGACAGTGTCATTGGCGATGGTGGCACTTCTTATTATTTTTTAGTTTTTTACGAGTCATTGGTTCTTTTAATTCTGTTTAATTTTTTAACATTGTTTCAAAAACAAACAAGAACGTATTTGATATCTATTTTAGTTTCTGTTCACTACACTATTTTATCTTACATTCACTGTATGTAAATATAAAGAAAAACAAATATTTGCCAAAATTCCTAACAATCTACCATCCATTTGAACCATGAAATAGGTCATTGTATGGATATCGGTTAGTGTTTTGGAGCCATCATGGAAGAACTTAGATATATACGAGTGAGTAATTAAACATTTTGAATATATACGCAAGACAATTAAGTAGTTTTTCAAATGTTGTTAGTGTTCAGTTTTATTTCCTAAGATTTCACTCATGTGAATGGACGCTGTGTAATATTGATATTGAATTAATTGAAACGGTCATTAATTGGCATATGTAGTTGGGAACTTATTGCAGTAAAGAACCTGAGACTGTTTTCTACTAGGTAATAGTAACTTCAGAATCAACATTAGACAATTATGTTGGAGGTATGCTTTTACGTAAGCTACTTGTCGCTTTCACCATCAAGCACATCGCCAATAATTTTGAACAATTCTGGCCAGTTATCCCCCCCCTCTCCGGGTCTGTGTGTGTGTTTTTCCGCGCGTGTATCTCGAAAACTAATTGACCGATGAACATGAAAATTTTACACAAGATGGGAAGCCGGTATGGAACAGTTCTCCCCAAATTTGGTCCGTATCTCGGTTCTGGATCACTTTGAAACATTTTTTTTATAATGGGGAAATAGGGCATTATCGCGGTTTGGGGTTAATAGCTGTGAAGTGTGATCGGATATGGGCAAATTAAGGTTGAGACTCCTCATCACACTTCAAAACATTATTAGGATCGTTGATCATTCTGGATCTGAGAAGGATTTTCTGAGTTTTCGAAGATGATATTTGACGTTATCGAATATAAAAGCATACAATTTCGAAAAGCAGCGGTGGGGCGAGGATGTGCAATGTCTGTGTTCTTTGTGGTAATTCAGTTGTTCTTATGTATGTACGTATATGTGTGTGTGATGATCTCGAAAATTTATGTTTATATAGAGGTTTAAAATTGTAAATTAATCACAAGTTTCAATAGCAAAACAAAACAAATAAATGTTCTATATTGATATGACAACACAATATCAATCAGGTTGAGTTTCATTTCCTTCCACGCATGCTTGGAAGGTTATCGACATCCAAACCTATTATGGTAACAAAATAAAAGTGATAGTATGTTTATTCTAAGGGCGATACTTGGGAATGTCGTCCGCATCTCCCTGTAGTTTAACGAAATTGTGTTGTGCTTACAGTAAGTAGATATGCTAGTTATTACAAATGAGTTTGTTACACGAGAGCAGATATCCTACCCTCACGTTTCTTTATCTCGTTTTAAGGATTTTTTAAATTTATTTTGAATACGTACATGTTCTGCCCAGTTCTTATAGCTAACAATTGTATATTTGTAAAAGATTTGTCAATTTGCCTGAAGAAACATTCTCCAAGTTTTATATTTTATTTAGGAAAGAGATTTCTTCATGACATAAACATTTTTTTTTTATCTGTGTTCTCTTAAATGAAATTCTTGTTCTACTTTTTATTTTTTCATTTCTGTTTCATTTTATGAACGATGATGAATAAAATGATGATTACAGAATCTCGTTCATTGTATAAGCCAGACAGATGGAGATACAGATTTCAGCTTTAACATTACTTCAAAATGAATAATGTTTATTCACACGATAGTTACTTCCGATGGTATGGACGTGTATTTACGTTTTTGGAAGGCTGAAAATTGGTGAATAGACACATTATCTCTAACCCATTCCTCACCCAGAAAATGTGAAAAGCGTATCTAATACTAATTCCTGTTGCTTTATAAGTGTAAAACTATTTTCCCAATATGATACAAAGAAAATTTACTCGAAGCGATTGTGAATTCTAGAAGCTATGAGGCTGTGGATGAATTATAAGAGTGCTGGTCAAATCCCAATATTCGATTAGTGTAACCAAAGAGTTGGCGGTGGGTGCTGTGCCTTCCCTCTAGTCTATCAGTTCAAAATTAGGGAAGACTCACGCATATAGCACTCGTGTAACTTTGTGCGAACATTTTGAAAAACAAGACAATATATATATATCTCAAATTATTTGTATATAAACAAGTTATGTATGGTTTTATCACTTTTAGATTCTTTATGAGAATTTTTTTGTTCCTTAGTCAGATGACTGAAGAGTATACAGCTAGGAAACTGGTTGCATCCTTTCTGTTTGACTGAAGAGTATACAGCTAGGAAACTGGTTAGACCCTTTCTGTTGAAATTAAAGTAAGAAAAATGATCAAAGAATAAACGAAAGCCGAAAACTCTTGTTTTCTATGTATCACCTCAGAAAGTTAACTTTGGTTCATACATAGAACATTTAGGTACAAGATTTTTACAAAGGCCATTGTTAAAATATCAATGAATCAGTACGCTAGCAGAGCAGGTAGATTAACCATCAGATGTTGATTTTTTTATTCTCATTATGGGTAATGTAACATAATTAGCTACTCACTGTTACATCTATAGAAATTCAGCACGGTGGCTGTGCTGGCAGTTTTTTTCTTTTGTAACACAGAGGGTTTAATATGGTAAATTAAAACGATTTTGAATATGCAAATCAGCAAGTCACACACAACTACAGTCGAAATAAAGTCGCAGTGGAATTGTATGTGTCAAAGCTATATTTTGATAGTTTGGCGGGGCGTATGTAGTGTGAGCCACCGAAAATTGATCTCACTTTGGGAAGGGTATGTGACAGCCCTTTCTGATGCAAAGAATTCATACACTCGAATCATAAAAATGTGTTCAAGTCCGAAACTTACAGTTTCTTAATATACTTAATGCCATTAGAAAACAAAATATGTAAATCACTTTATAGCACCAAGACAACCCAGAAAGAGACCTACAATAAGTCGTATCTCAGCCTTGGTAAACAAAGTGCGTCGTCTTATACACGAACACATAATCAGGGAAAAAAAGTCGTCCATATGTGCCAGGCAGCATTATTCAACACAAATTATGTGTACACAAGCTGCTTCTACGAAATATCTGTTCTAATGTCACATACTTCAAGCAGCTGGAGAATCAATTGAGTATTCATACTATTTGATGTGAAGACATTACCGGTCAAGTTGCTGGATGGCAGCACCTATGGTTGTCTGTGTGATCAGACTGCTATGCTATAACAGGAGTTTGAAAACAGTTGTCCTTGAATACTAGATAGATTATGGAAAGCATGCAGGGAAGAGTGGTGTACCTTGGACGTTACGGTCTTACTATTGAGTCTTTGGTAATGGATAGAGCATGATCAGATTTGGCGACATGGACTGTAACAACATGGTGAAGGTCCAATGTCGTTTTATTATAGCTTACTCAACCTCTGTTTATATATATATATATTAAAACCAGGACTTGATTCATTTCTGCACTAATATTTTTTTTCAATTTGTGTGTTGATATCTAGATTAATCTCAATCTATGTTTTATCTTCCAGATGTCTGGACCAGGCTTAGATTTTAATACTCTTCAAGAGATAATGCAGAGTGACGATGACGAATTTGAAAGAGCTGTCAACAAGATGAACATGAGGGTATGCTGTATTTTTTTATATTTAAGGAAATATCTTATTTCATTCGTTATAATCAGTATATATATGGATTATAATTGAAAAAAATATTATAGCCCATTTTAAACAATAAATAAACTTAATTGAGTCATCTATTATATTTACGCTGGATGATATCCAAGAAAATCATTCTATTTATCATAGTTTACCACTATTAAGTTAGCGCGAATAGATATCGAAATTCATTAAAATCTTTACAAATACAACCAGCTCGATACGAATTGTTCATAACTTACCTGTAAGCGTAGTGTTCGGTAAAATATTTTTACAAATACAACCGGCTCGATACGAATTGTTCAAAACTTACCCGTAAGCGTAGTGTTCGGTAAAATATTTTTACAAATACAACCGGCTCGATACGAATTGTTGACAACTTACCTGTAAGCGTAGTGTTCGATAAAATATTTTTACAAATACAACCAGCTCGATACGAATTGTTGACAACTTACCTGTAAGCGTAGTGTTCGATAAGATATTTTTACAAATACAACCGGCTCGATACGAATTGTTGACAACTTATCTGTAAGCGTAGTGTTCGAGAGACAAAAAAAAAAAGTTGTAGGAAAAGTATTTTACTAATTACGTTTCAATTATAAAATCAGCATACAAGTCCGTTTGTTGTTCAATACATACTAAGCAAAAGTGTTATGTTTCATATTTCTTTAGTGAAAGGTTGAAAAATGAACAAGAACAAATACGCTGATTGCAAATGTGAGCAGGGTGTGACTGGCGTGCAGGGCTGCGAATCAAGAGGTCTTAGGCTCGAGTCGCGATTTACACTATGTACTTTCATCTCTAAGGGCGTTATAAATATTGATGTTATAAACAATGTATCGGTTCTAATTGATGCGATGTCAATTGTGTTATCATGCACGAAGAACAGATATTCAAAAAGGTGTTTTTAAGAGTGAATCTCAGATTGTATTTTTTATTTTTATTTACATATCTTTTTTTTTGTATGCCCCAGAAAGTTTACGGACTTACAACGCTAAAATCCAGGATTCGATTCCTTGCGGTGAATAGAGCGCAGATAGAACATTGTGTAGCTTTGCGTTAAAACAACAATTTTTAAGTATAATTTTAAACGGCACTTGTGCAATGAATAAATAAATAAATAAATATATATATATAAAGACACACACACATAGTTAAAAGGAGTAAAACGCTAAAATAATTACACATCAAATAAAACAGGAACCAGTTCTAAAATGACTCTACGTGCTTCGGCATACTTACACCACCATCTCCAGGAGTAAAAGTTGAAGTTTAGTCAAGACATATACTACACAATGATTTGCATTTCTTTAGCCCCATCTTGACTTAAAAACCCCAGACTTTACAAAAAATGTATTGCACTTTATTTCTTCTGAACTGGACCAACTTCTTTGTTCAGCGCAATGTCTTTGTTTGTTGTCATTCTCTGTTGTTTCTCTAATTTTTAATTCAAATTTCAACTCCACCTGATTTACCAGTTTAACATTATTACAGTCTATAACGTAAAATATGCCTGTCACACGTGCTGTTAAGGCCGCCTCATTTACTTTATATTGTTACGTCTCCGTTTGTTAGTTAATTGATTTTCCGTGAATTCGTTCTGTCGAAACTTTAGCGACACAAGTCCTTTCTTAAATAAAACTGGTTTATTCTTTCCGAATACAACTTTACGATACACTCAACTTCAACAGTCGCTCTGTAACAAACGCTATAATTCTCACTTGCTCGTGCTCGACAATACTCAGTTTAATTACTCACTACTGCACACATTGTCCCGTCACGTTGTGACCATCTTATATATACCAGACTACCCCTAATCTAGTAATCTCCCGATAATTCCCAAAGGTTCGAGAGAAGGAGTGGTGTGATACTAGTCACGTGACCTCGCTGACGCAACAATATCTTTTTTTGTTTGAAGTTAAACACAAAGCTACACAATGGGCTATCTGTGCTATGCCCACCACGCGTATTGAAACCCGGTTTCTAGCGTTGTAAGTCCGCAGACATACCGCTGGGAGGCTACTTTATATTTATCTTCCGCATTTTTATGTTCCTTGATTCTAAATTTCTATTTCTGCAGGTTTGCCCAATGTAAGTTCGACCAAAGACGCAAGGAATTTTGTAAATCCTACATTTATTAACTTGTATTCTATCTTTTATACCTGTGGGAAAATTATTTAGTTTACAAGATGAAGTGAATGTTACACTACATTATCTTTATTTTTTTTATTATGTTGCCTATTCTTGTTGATAAATCTTGAACATGTGGCAAACAAACCCTCATGTTTTCAACTTTACCCTTTCCGATTAACTTTGTACATGATGACATTTTAAATTTATTATGTTTTTGCACAATATATCAATAATTTCGGGATTATATCCTCTATCTCTAATTACATGTTTCAAAAAAATTAACTCAGATCTTGAATCACAATTATGAGTACAGATGTTTAAAGAGCTAAATACATATGTGGAAAAGGCAGATAATTTTTGTGTCCGTCTGGGTGATACGATCTATTGTGTTGGAGGTACAGACAGGAAACGATTTTCTACAAACAGAAGTTGAGAGACGCACTTTATTCAGGTTAATGGTCATGTCTTAAGAAATTTAACTGACCCTTTTTTACATCTCCAGTATAAATCTAATAGTAGGACTGATCGAATTGAGATGTCTTTCAAACTGCATTAATGTCTCAACTTCACTCCACCACACCAAACATGAGTCATCTACATACATTAACCACGCCAAGAGTTTCACTTCAGAAGTATTAAACGTATTCACCTCGAATTTGAACATAACTAACTCGAATAAAAGGGGGATATCGTAGATTAAAATAATGTATTGCCTACTTACACTCATGGGTTAGCTTAACGATTTAGATAGCTTCCTAACAGAGAAAATGTTTTACTCTCTAATAATTCATTTTCAAGACAATCCAGTGCTTCTTGAACTGGAACATTAGTAATACCAAAACAATGTCAAATATGTTGACTAAGTTTTTATTTTCTTTCGACTGGTGAAACATCACCATCGTTCATATGCTAGACTTCGCTCCTTTCCTATCTTGTAAAGTGAGAATACTGTCTTTTTCTATTTATTCAGGAACTTTTGGACCTGGTTACTGGTCTCCAGAATGCCATGGCACAGGAACAGCAACAGTTCGATCAACTGAGCCTGCAGCTACACATGTACCCAGACTCCTCCAGTGAAGAGCATCAAAGGATTTCCAGCGCCATGTGTTCGTCCCAGATGCGGCTAGCCTGCTTGTGTACACGAAACATGCGGTGCTTCACACAGGTATGATGGTGGGATGGCTTGTAATTTTGAACCATGCACTGCTTCACACAGGTGGGATGGCTTGTAATCGTGAACCATGCACTGCTTCTCATAGGTGGGATGGCATACAATCGTGAACCATGCGCTACTTCTTATAGGTGGGATGGCTTGCAATCGTGAACCATGACCTGCTTCTCACAGGTGGGATGGCTTGTAATCGTGAACCATGCACTGCTTCTTACAGGTGGGATGGCTTATAATCGTGAACCATGACCTGCTTCTCACAGGTGGAATGGCTTGTAATCGTGAACCATGACCTGCTTCTTATAGGTGGGATGGCTTGCAATCGTGAACCTTACACTGCTTCTTACAGGTTGGATGGCTTGTAATTGTAAACCATACACTGCTTCTCACAGGTGGGATGGCTTGTAATCGTGAACCATGCACTGCTTCTCACAGGTGGGATGGCTTGTAATCGTGAATCATGCCCTGCTTTTCACAGATAGGATGATGGTATGGTGTGTAATTCAAAATCAGTCAAACCTTTTTTGCTTACACCAAAACGTATTTTTGTATATTTTGCAAACGTTAGTGAGATACGTAGTGATTAACGATTTTTAGATATTTAGAAAAGAGACACATTTCTGTAAATATGATATATATTTAACCTCCTCTGTACCTCCTTTTATGCAGCCTAAAGTTTATTTACGTCAAAACTGATATTTGGGCGACTCAAAAGTTTCATATTAACAACACAGTTATATCGTGAAAAACCTATTTCTGAAGTCACTTTGTTAGCTGAAGCCATTTTCTAAACCTTTTTGCTGCCAGACCACTCTTTATTCCAATGTAGAACTTCTGTTATTGAACTCGTTACATTCATTTCTCAGACTTCTGACTGGTGTTCAAGGTTGAAACGTTTTTCCTTTTGGAGAATATTAATTCAAATAGGAAAGAGAAAAGAAGAACGCACCAAGATAAACCATTTATCATCATACTCGACCAACCATGAAAATGTTTTGAAGGTCGAATATTAAGTATCTAATTTAAAGTATGAAAATTGGCTACCTGCACATTCACTCATGCGCACCGGATTGTTTCCCATGCAACATTAATCACAATAAAATGAAATGGTTTATTAGGATGAACTGCAACTGGTATGCGTACATATATCAACATACGTGTTAACTTTGTTGTAGTCTTCAGTTCGTTGACTGGTGTTTTAGGGTATTGAACGTTATACAAACGGTCAAGAAAGCAGATATTTAAATTGTCATCACCTATAGGATTATGTGTCTGGGTAAAACTGAATAAAGCTCATAATATTTGCTTGTTACAAATTCAGAAATTCGCCCTAAATATAAAAAGAGGAATTGAGGAGTTTAAAACTGAAACTTGGACCAATAAATAACATTGACCAAATTCAATAGTATAATTACTTTCATAAATGCTTAAACTAGTGAAGCAAGAAGTCTCTTTAGATTTTAACAAGTGGGTCGAAAATCTTGTTTGGCTGTAGAAAATGTTTGACTCACAGATCCTCAGAGTTATTCCATTAAGGATTTAAAGCAGTAGGTGTATAAAAATATTACTTTAATTTATATGTTTTCTGCCTCTATTCAATGTCTAGGAGGGTTTTCGTTCAATAATAGAACTCGCCAGCTGGGCTGAACTGCTAGTAATATCAAAAGACTGTGAAATGCTGTGTTTATGCATCTTAAAAACGAAAGAAATACTCGTCGTTGTGGTGTAAAACAAAACATAGCGAGACAAGAAATTTATTTAGGCTTTAAAATTGTGAGGAAAATCAAGAGTAACAGTAATTTTTGTTTTACTTCATTCATTGTAGCCTGTTACAGATTTCAAACCAGAGGTACACATTGGTATAACAGCTAAAACAAAACAAAAGTTGTTCCATAATTCCTTTATAATGTAGATAACAAAGATAAATAACTTCCTTACGGCTATAATTAGGTGTATGCCTGTATATATACTTTAATCAGGTAATATGTCTGTGTTAATGACTTCAGGAATGCACGTCTTTACAACAATTGTTATTTCAAACCGGAAATGTTACCTTGTCCTAGATTCAGACCTGTTTTTCAACGTAATTAACTTTTACAGAATGGGTTATTCACCTCAGTCTTTTGAATTTCTTCCTCACAATAATTAATATAGCTCCAAAAGTAGAAGTTAAATAACGTTACTGGTTTTCTTTTCAAATATCTACAACGTGTGGAGTGGTACCAAGAATTTTTGTTTAATGAGCGTAATAAGATAGACATTTTCTCCGTACTGTACTAGAAATATCGTACACATGGTGAATTGCACTTGAGATCTAAATAAACTATGATGTATGTAAATATTGTAAATAAAATAAACTTGCACTGAAAATTAAAAACAATAAGATAAGCAATATTTTAATAAATAACATAACACATGAACAACAAGAGACCAGTTGGACCTTTGAGGCTATCTTATACACTCACTTTTAGGAAAGGTAAAAATTTAAATATACCTTTTATTTTTTAACAAATCACCAACTCCCGCTTAAACTCCTGTAAATTCATTCTATAAACAAATCATCCTGTTAGAAAAATAAAACTGTCTGAAATGGAGCTTAGTTTGTCTCTTTTTTTTTCAAATCTTAAAACTATTTTTTTTCTTCATTCTATTATCTTCAGAATACAACACAAAGAAATTGGAAACCTTCATCCTATTGTTTCTCCAGGTAATCTTATAAACTTCTATAAGATCACTTCTTATCGTTCTCAAGAGAAAATTAAGTCAAGAGATCTAACTTATCCCTTACATACCTGGAATCATTCCAATAGTCCTCTTCAGAACCCTTTCCAATCAGTCAATATATTTTCTTCCATAATGAGACCAGAAATGAACACAGTATTCATGTTTGGCCTAACTAGTAATTTGTATAGAGAGCTAATTATTTCTTTAGACTTGTAATCAGTATATATATAAATATATCCTAAAATTATGTTAGCTTTACTACTACATTACCCATCACTTTTCTTAAGGCATGCTATTCATTGGGTTCCCAATTATGCTGCATATACGATCCAAATTATGATAACCCAGATGCATTACCTTGCACTTATTATAAGTAAAGGTCACTTGCCAGATATTTGTCCAAATTACAAAGTCATTCTGTAATAAGTCAATATTCTCAATACAATTAGTAATACCCAAGAGTTTAATGTCATCAGTAATTTTACTAATGTATTAATTATGCCATTATCAATGTTGTTAATATAAATAAGAAAATACAAAGGCCAAAGCACTGAAACCTGAGGCACACCACTAGTAACAAGAGTCCAGTTTTGTTTTCTTCCATCCAACAATTCAATTAACTAGTCTTTCCTCCCAAACCCCTATCAATGTAATTGTCTTAGCTAATCTTTTGCGTTGTGTCTTGTCAAAAGCTTATAAAAAATATAAGTATACCAAATCTATACCCTTTCCATCATCTAGATAAGCAACATCTTCGAAGAAAAGATTAGTGAATCATGATTTCCCTCTGGGGATCCTTGTTGGCTTTCATTCACGATATTTATTTCATTAAATGTAAAACTTCTTTCATTAGACTAAAATTGTTCTCACCACAGAAGTCAGAATAATAGGCTTATAATTTCTGGAACAACTCTTATCACCCCATTTAAAAATAGGACTAACATCAGCAACTCTCCAATCGTTTAGAACCAGACAGAGGCTCACTTATTTTATTGTTGAATTACCTTAAGACTCTGAGGTAATTCTTGTCTGGTTCTGCTGCTTTGCTTATTTTGAATATCCCAATCTTTGTATTGCCAACAATAAAATCTGTATAATTCAGGTAAAATAACAATATTTCCCATAGAATTCTCAAGGTTAGGAATATTGCAAGTATCTTTTCTTGTGAAAACAGAAGAGATGAAAGAATTTAAAAGCTCAGCCATCCCAGTCTTGAATAAAACCTTGCCATCAGGACTCAATTCCTATTTTAACATTTTTGTTTACCTTTAACATGCTTAAAACAAAATAATTGCTTTTAATTTTATCATTGTTATCCATCTGTTTCTCATAAGCCCTTTTTGATTTCCTATAGTTCTATAAATCTTCCAACGAATTAGTCTTCTTCAATTAGTTTTGATTTTCCCTGTTATTCTTTTAAATTTTTTAGGATTGTGCCTATTGAATCTGTCTCTGTAGTCTTATTATTTTTACTATTGTGTACCCTTATAAACCCAGCACTCTCGTTCTCTCACCATCCCCTAAAGCAACCTTTACCTAACTATTCATTTCTTGTATTGTTTCCTTGATTTCTGTTCCTGTTCTGCCGCCTTCCTTCTCTAATAGTGCAATCGCCCCCTACCACAAGCTACCTCTGATGTATTCTCAAGTAAGCAAGCTCTGCAAACGTATTGTATTGTATCTCTCTGAGCCTCCTGAAAGTCGCAATCAAGTCCACAACTCTAGAACATAACCAAATCTTGGTACCTACAGTACCCTATAAATTTTACTCTCCTTATCCGTGAACCATATTGAAGTTTAAAAGATAAAATAATTCTCCATATTTCTTAGCTAAAATATGTGATAATTATTTATTTTAATCTAATATTTAATAACTTTAGTATCCTATAACTAGGGTGACTAGACATCTAGGTTTGGTTGGGACAGTCCCGGTTTTTGGAATGTTGTCCTGGTGTTGTAATAGATCAATCTGGTTTACCTGAATTTCCAAGTTTTCATTTTTGCCAGTAATTTGTAACTTTTTTTGAACTTGTGTGAAGTATTTTGTGTCCATGATAACCACGAATCAACAGATAATGAGTAGGTAAATTATCACACAGCTTGGAATGACACAGCATAACTTTTTAAGTTTGCTAATAAGGCAAGCTACAGCAGACATTATGTCACTATTACATATGTTATTTTTATATTCGCCAAAAGAAAGGAAAAAGAAAGGCAACTGAATGTAAATGGCAAATGCATTTCACAGCCGATATTCAATTTTCAAGTCGTGA